TCTCAAACAACATGCATCATAAAACTTCTTTTTAAATATATTTAATCAATTCATCTATTTTGAATTATGATACCTATTGATTGATTACAATTTTTTTGGTATCATAGTGAAACCCACAAAAAATAAAATCAAAAAGTGAAAAAAGAAGAAGAAATGATGCAAAATGGAGGATTATAGAATCCCTTTAAGTATCTCCTCTAAACAATTCCAGTGCCACCATCAACTTTCTCGTTGTATTGCTTTAAAGGGTGTTTAGTTATGTTCATTGGAACATGGAAGTGTAGGGATCAATCAACTGATATAAAATGTTCAGAAGTCCATTTCCCAATAGAAAATTGCTTCCTTTTAATTAAAGGAAAAGAAAGTTCGTTGTCAATACTAGTGCTAAAGATTCCTGCGCTAATAGTTTGCTCTATTTTCTAATTTTCTAATCTTAAAGGCACTGTTTGTTTGTCGTGTGAATCCATTTATATTATTTTTATATAACTATAGATGTATAAGAGTGCATATTCTGATTAATTTTTGTTTCAAGTTTGGACTATGATATCGAAAATGTATTATGCCTAAATCTACTATTCATCGAAATTCACGTGGGTTTTTTATTGGCTAAAGTTTTTTAGGTATTTATACTTTTCCTCTATAATAGAAATTGTCTCCGGTTTTGTTTTGCTTTGCTTAAGGCTTTATTTCATTTACAATGCAAATAAACAAAGCAAAATAGGTCCTAAAACAAAAGTAAATTAAGCAGAATTTGTCATCAATTCATTTGAATTCTCATGCTTTTGCACCAATACAAATTAAGTTGTATTACAAACAAACCAAGCTTAAGAGTATTAACATTTAACTACTTCACTTACATTTGTATTATAACTAGTATGACAATTCTAGATGATGATAATGATAATAATGTATTAAAAAATTTCTATAAAATTTCTATTTTTTATTTTATTTATATTTTGGTTTTTATTATTAATCCAATGCAAATTACAAAATCCAAATCTAATTACGTAAACGCCTTATATTGGGCCGCAAAGTTTTGGGTATCATTAACAGGCCTACCTACTTGGCTGGATTCTTATTTTTGTAATGTTTTATCTTCTTAGTGTATCTTTTTTGTTCATTTATAAAAAAAAATGCAAGATTTAAAGAAAGGAAATTGAATGAGGTGAAAAGTAATAGTTCAAATTACATTTTAAGCTTCACAATTAAATAGATATAAAATTCAAAAAACGGATGTTTTAGTCAAAAGAAAGTTCCACAATCTAGGGGTGAGCATGGGTTGGTTTGGTTCAGTTCCATGGCAGAACTTAGAACCTACCTTATAGGGGTTGGTTCCAGGTTTTTGGAACTAGAACCTACCTTGTGAAGATCGGTTCCAGGGTCGGTTCCAAGGTCTACCCATGGAACTTGTTCTTTGTTTACTCTCCCTCTTAAAAAAATGAAACATGTCTTTTAAAAAGTTGATCTTTAATAATGATAGTATATAATTTAAAACTTATATTATGTTTATTGATTAAATTGAGTAAACTTATTTGTAGATTATTATAATATATTCACATATGGTTCAAAATTTTTCATAATATAATTTAAATTTTGTAAATATTACCTTTTACATTATTTATTATGCACATTCAAATATTAAAATGGAAACAATTGATAAAATTACTTAAATAACTCAATGGTCAAATGAGACCATGGCTTTTGTAACAATGAGTGCTAGGGTTCAAATCTTTAGATTCTTAAAAATAATTTGGAGTTTATTACAAGGCAAGTTCAGTTCCAAGGCTGGTTGCACTAAGGCCAACCAAGGCCAGTTCATCAGGTTGGTTTGTGTAGGGTAAACCCATAGACCCCTGGAACCGACCTGGGTAGGGGTCGGTTCCAAGAATTTGGAACTAGACCCTACATTGTAACATATTAGGTAGGGCCAGTTCAAGGCTGGTTCGAGGTTGATTCCATTCGGTTCGAAGTAGAATCTACTCATTTGCTCACCCCTACCACTATCTTATTCATATTTTTAAGGGAAAAATCCTGAACAACACCTTGAACTTTGGGGGTTGTCAAGTTAGTCCCCAAACTTTAAAACATGTCTCTACAGTACACTGGACTTTCAAATTGTGTCTAATAGGTCCCTACCGTTAGTTGACCATTAGTCAACACCGTTACGTGACACCAAGTGCACATTAAATAATTTCAAAATGGCAAAATTACCCTTTATGATATTTTTCTAACCATTTTACCCATTTCGTCTAAGTGTTAAAAGAAGGAAAGGGGAAGAATGGTTATGAAACCAAACACCGATCAACTGTTGAAGCTCCCACTCCCCTGTTCAAGCTCCTAGGAATGGAAACGGGGCAGGTCTCCCTGTCCTACTAACGGGGACAAGGTTATCCCCATCCCCGTCCCCACGGGGATCCCCATTCCCCGTGATTTTTATAATGTTAACCATTTTGTTTTTGTTTTTTATTTTATTTGAAAAAATAAAAAGAAAATAATTAAAATTTACAATCCTATTAGAAAAGATTCAAACATATTCAACCATATTTTAAAAAATATTAATATATAGATGTATGTGTACATATATACATATATAATGTATGCATACATATATACATATATTAGTGGGGATCCCACGGGGCAGGGATCGAGGTTCCCACGGGGTGGGGAGTGCTCTTCTTGTCCCGTCCCATCCTTGCTAACGGGGATGAAAATTTCCCCATCCCCGCCCCATTCGGGGTGGATCCTCACAAGGATTAGAGAAATGGGGAAAATTACCATCCCTACAAGCTCCCCCATTCAACGATCAACTGTAACCGGACAATCACATGTCTGGTTTCATAGCCCTTCTTCCCCTTTCCTTCTTTTAACACTCAAACAAAGTGGGTAAAATGGTTAGAAAAATATCATAAAGGGTAATTTTGCCATTTTGGAATTATTTAATGTGCACATGATGTCACGTAACGGTGTTGACTGACGATCAACTAACGATAGGGACCAAGGATAGGGACCTATTAGACACAATTTGAAAGTTCAGAGTACTGTAGGAACACGTTTTAAAGTTCATGGACTAACTTTACACAACTCCCAAAATTCAAGGTACTATTAAGGAATTTTCCCTATTTTTAATAGTAGTGTAAACATAGAATTATAGATTGTTCAATTTTTTTCTATAAATTTTTATTTCTATGTGTGTAAAAATAACTTTTTTGTTTAATATGATAAATATATGATATTGTACATGCGCCCAAATGTTTTTTTTTGTAAAATTTATGTATTTTTGTGTTTTGTATTTAATTAATTTTTATTATTTAATTATGACATTAAAGGTTGACACATTTGACCCAAAAGTTGAATTATTGATCTTTGTCAAACAAGAAAACAATTTCATTTTTGGTTAGTTTTAGATTATGTATTTCATTTTCATCATCAATAAAAATAATTATTGTTTATTACACTTAATTTTTTAATTTGATTTTAAAAAACATCATAAATGTGTCTAATTTTTCTATATTTTTATAATTTTTTATATTTAACAAATTTATTATTTGACTATGATTTCATGGGTTGACCAATTTGATTATGATGGTTGAATTGCTTAGTCATCACTTAGGTAAAGAATGAGTTTGTATTTGAGTAAGTTTTGAAATATGGTTTTATATTGTTAAAATTATTGGACATAGACATAATTAATAGCATTTATTAATAAAAAAACTTAAATATAGGATTTAATAAAAAGAGAATGGGACCTTAAATATAAGACTTGAATCATTTGATGAAAGGAGATTAAATGAAGTGAAAAACAATAATTAAAATTACATTTTCAATCCTCATAATTAGAGATTGACTAAATACACAAATATAGGTATTTTACTTCCCCTTGTTTAAATTTCTAGCCCATTATGTGGGGTGTGGATTTGGATCCATGAGCTGTTGAATTCCTGCAAGCCCAAACCCTTATAACTAGGGTAACCGAACCATGAGTAGGGATGGCAATTTCCCCCGTAAAACCGGGGCCCTGCCCCGCCCCACCCCAAATGGAGCGGGTTTTCCCCGACCCTAAACAAGGATGGGGCAGGGACGGGAAAAATAAATTTTCCCCAAACCGAGTATGGGGCGGGGACGAGTTTTGTATATAATTCCCCAAACCTGCCCCCAAACTCGAAGGTAAATTAGTAAAATATCTCTAGGTTTAATATTGATACTTAAAATATCTCTAAGTTTTCCCAAAATTTTTAAAATCCTAGGATCCCATAATCCCTAAAGTATTTTTCAGTAATTGCTTTGTAGCGGGGAAAATTCGGGGATTCCCCATCCCTGATGGGGAATGGATGCCCCGCCCTGAACCCGCCCCACCACAAGGGATGGGGCGGGTACGAGGCAAGGTATCATGACTTCGGTGTGGGGATGGGGAGGGGGGTGCCCCGCCCTGAACCCACCTCATTACCATTCCTAATCGTGAGCCTTTTTTTTTGTAACCGAATTGGTACTATTGGTTTTTGGAAAACCGGTAACTAAAACCGAATTAAAGCCAATTGGTTAACCGGTTGACCGATTCGGTTAATCGTTAATTCGGTTCATCGGTTTTTCAATTTTTTAATTTTTATAATATATATTATAAAAATACATATAAATATATAATAAAAAATTAGAAATATATATAATATATTATATTTTAAATAATAAATAAATATATCATATATTAGAAATATATAATGCATATTTATCAATTTATAATATATAAAAATATAAAATATATATAATATACATAAGTACATATAAAATATATAAAAATATATGTTGGTTCGATTTTTCGGTTTTTTTCTCACCCCTACTTATCTTATAACCTTGTTTACTAAGGATTATACTATACAACGAGTATGTGCAACCCTTGGTTATTCGCCATATAGACATAATGGGGCCAAGAAACGACATACTATAAGACAAAGTTGAATATATTTTTATGGGTCCCACCTTGTCTGCAGGGCGAGGAGTTGAAGCTTGAAACTCCATGTTTACAATTACAAGCATTCCTGTTGTTCCCCTAATTCTGTTGGACCGCAGACACAGAAGGCTTGTTATTTTTGAACGCTGGAATTTTCCCCACAAACAACAATCCTTCCGCTAAATAGTAGCCGGAATTCATGGGAGGGAGGCGATAAAACTGCCCTGTTTTATTACTCTAATTTGACATCTTTCTCGCTTGTTCTTCGTTTTTTTGGAGATTTTGAAGGAGATATGCAAGTACCCAGATGGAGAAACCTCTTAATTTTTAGGAGTTCCCTCTGTCAATTTTCTCATTCCGCTTCTTTTCATTCAACTCCTGCGTCGCTCGAGAAGTGGAAGAATAAATGGAAGCCGGTGGGTTGTCTGAGTTTTTATTTTTTTTTCGTGCTTTTATTAGTCAACTATTCATATTTTGAACCATTGCTGTTCTTTTAGTTTTCATCCATATTAAGTTCATAACTGGGTACTTTTTAATCTTCCAAATTTTATTGGTTATTTGAATTTTTTGGTCTAATGTTGGCTGTTAGGTTTACTCGTGCTTTTAATATCTGATAAAGTTGGAAAGTTAATTACAAATGTAGGAAACTTGATGCCGTAAAGTATTTGATATTCATGTCTAAATGTGCTCCTGTTTATTTCCATATGGAAAATTAATTCAGGTCTGGTTGATTTATGATACTTGAACAGTAAATGATGGAAACTTGAAATATGGTAATGCTGTCAAATAAAGGTTCTATTAGCTTAGTTGAGTAATGTATTGCCAAACTTCAAGACCTTTTTGGTACCAGTGAGGGTTCTTGTGCCAATCTTACATTCATCATCAATTGTTGGTGTTAGTCCCAATTTTGCTGCTTATTATGAAACTTCTCTAATCATATCATGTCTCTTAATGTAAAAGAAGGATTCAACTTCTTAACATTAAATTTTTATATTTAAGTTTAGATACACAAAATACTTCCTTAAAAGTAGAAATATCAGAAGCATTTGACTTGGACATGCTCAACTCAACTCAATTCAATGGAGCCTTCTCTCTGGCCTAACCAAATTTTGTTCAGCCACACAAATCCTCTTTTGACATTCCACTCTGTCCAATAAAATTGTGAATTCCAGGATCTTTTCTTGCCACTTTACACATACGTTTTACTTGTGTTCTTTTATGCACATGCACAAACTGGCAAGTCTACTTTCCTGCAACTTCTGGGATTCTGGGTATTGCTACATCATGTCACTTTCAGGAAATGCCTTAGCACGAGCCTGTTAGAACCCTCCTTTATTTATAAAGTTGTGAAAAAATTAAATATAGATATATTAAAAGGCTAAATATATATAGGAAAGTGACTTTATCTTATTTTTAATCTATATCTGCCATATATGTACTTAAAACAATAGAATTTACCACTTGTACAATAGAAGCCTAAGATGATATAATGAAGTTTGACTTGAAAATCAAACAAATCTACATACAATGGCCCTTTATCTTTCATATGATAGTAAACAAACTCAATTTCTAGTCTCTTTTTTTTGATACTTGACTCAATTTCTAGTCTTGAATAATGTAAATAAATCATTTTCTACTAAGGGCTTTAAAAAAAGTCTCCCATGGCAAAACTAAACATAAACGAAAAAAAAGTAGAGAACTAATTCTTAATTGGATTTATTTGAATCGTAAAAATCGTAAGATATATGAATCAAGCCGTAGGATTCAAACAAAAATTGTAAGGTTTTTGCAGAGAAGGATTCAAACATAAGATTCGAATCGATACCCTTGGGATTCATGATTCAAATCGTGAATCGTATCGTAATTTGTAAGATTTTGACAACATTTGCATGGAAAGCTCAGCTCTGATAGATTTTTTTTGGTAAATAAGAAAGTAGCTACAGAAGACGGGGGTAGCTCTTCCCCAAAAATCAAAAGAAACAATAAGCTTTAAGTCTCTACATTCTAGAACCTCGGACAAACCCATAAAAGTACCAAGGTGTCCTAAATTTGCAATCCAGTCTGCTGCTTGGTTCGCCTCTTTATAAATGTGCTTATAACTTATCTTCAGTGATCAGTCTGTCTTCTTCTACAATCTTGTGGCAGTCTTCAATGTTCGACCAAAGTACCAATACTCTAGGGGATTTTGCACTCCCTATGTGAGCTTCAACTATCAACTTGGAATCTTCTTCTATAATGATGTTACAATCTCTCCATTCTCTGGCCATGACATGGGCTTCTCTAGCTGCTAACGCTTTTACTACATTGATAGATGCTCTTCCTGTTGCACAAGTAATTGTACGAACAATCTTGCCCTCAATATTCCTAGCAATGCAACCAATCGTAGTGTCTCCATTGTCCTTTCTTGATGCATCAAAATTTATTTTGATAGAATGGTGTTTAGGGGGAAACCAAGTAACCCAAATTTGACTCCTCCTAGGTTGCTCACTTGAATTGATTTTGAGATGACTTAAAGAACTCCTTGAGTTGGATCCAAGCTCTTTCAGTGATATGGACAGGGCCTACCATTTTATTTTGGAATGTGTTCTCGTTCCTACTCTTCTGAATGGGCCATAGGATAAAAGCACATTTTTCCAAATGGTTGGAATAGCTCTGATAGTTATTGAGATTTTGGAGTCTTTCCCACCAATCTCTTAATGATTCAGATTGTTGTGGCCTTAGTTTTCAAGGTGTCTAGGCGATTCTGGGCAACACTAGGGCACGTAGTCGCCAAGGCGATAAAAAAATTATAATATAAAAAGCTGACTTTTGGCTAGTGTCCTAGTTTTATATACCATTCAGCATGTATGTTAATTGAAAAATAGCAATTCTCTTTATTAAGAACATTAAATTTCCTCTAAAAATGTGGCAAATTATCACATCTAAAAGATAAAAATCTTTTACATCTATTAATTTCATTATTTTCAAAAACAATACTACTATAATAAGTATTTAATAGAGCAAATTCATATTAATTAGCAGCTAAAGAAGGTTATTAACTTTATATGATAAATATTCAAGATGGAAAGTAAAATAGAAAAAAAAACAAGGATGAAGTTTCTGTTTTATTTAATTAGAGAGAGAATAGAAGAAAAAGAACTTTATTATTCTATTCTTTCTTTCCTCTTTCTTTTCTTTCTTTCTTTCTTTCTTTTCTTTTTTTCTTTCTTTCTTTTTCTCTTCTCAAAACCTTTTGATTTTTTAAATTTCAATGGTAAAACATTAAAACAAAGTATAATTGATATATAAATCATATAATAAAATGAGCACATACATTAATAAGATACAGCAATATAAATGATATTACAAAAGGCGCCCACCTTGTCATTTTTGTCACCTAGGCGGGTGCCTAGTTGCTAAAAGTCAAGGCGTTTCGGCAAGGCGCCCAGCCAAGGGCGCCTAGTCGCCTAGGCGACACCTTGACAACTATGGTTGTGGCCCTGGACAAATTTCATGGGTATTGGGTAGTGGCCCACGTTTGGCTTGCAATGGGACAATCAACAAAGATGTGATTTAAATCTTCTACTTCATGACATGCTTGACAATTTCCATCAAAATCAAACCCTTTATCAAGAAGATTTTTTCTTGTGAGAGTTTGTTGTTTAAAAGGAACCATAGGAAAATCTTTATTTTCGGCAGGCATTGAATCCTCTAGATGGCTTTCGTCTTGACCTCATGGTTCAGACCAAGTTCAACTAGTCAGTAAATGGATTTAATTGAAAAAGTTCCATGAGTATTTGAATCCCATCAAAGATTATCCTCAACATTGGTAACTGCAATGGGTACCCAAAATGTTGTTGATCAAATCTGTTGGGACCATTGATTCCAACTTGTTTAAGTGCCATGATTTTGAGTCCCAATAAATGAAATGTTGGACATTTGTTTCTAAATCTATGCTTGTTCTTAGAGAATCTGGGATTTTGTCAATGAGTGGTTGGTCAAGGACCTGATTGTCTGACCAAAATCTTTGTTGCCCTTCCCAATGACCCATCTTAGGCCTTTGAGAATAGTGTCCTTGCATTTTAAAGTCATGATTAAAGATTTTGAACAGTGTCCTTGCTCTAATAGATTTTGAACATTCTCAAATCAATTAAACATTCGGACTTGTTAGATAACATATTTACTAAGCTTTCTAATAGTTGTGGAAAATGACATTGCATGGATAAGATGACCCAAGATCCTTTCTTGTTTGATAACAAATTAAATAAACTTCTCATTCACATTGAATTTCAACCAAAGATCCTCTCTTATTTTCTCCCAATTTCTTCTCTACTCCTTTCTTCCTTCGTTGTAGAAAATTGAGGTTCAAATTTGAGCACATCTGAAAATGATAAAAGAAATGAACACCTGAAATTTTAGCTATGCACTGGAATGTTAGCTCTCTTTCCAGGATGCACCATGTCTGCAGGCAAAACTGTCTCTTCTGTGAACTGTGACCTTTAGCTAGTTGTCTATGCAATAAAGTGTTATATAAGAGATCTCTATTTCATAGAAATCCTTCATTTAAGTTGTTTACCCTTGCTTTTTTGCAAAGATTGATAACTTCCTACTGATTCTTGACCCTTTTTTTTTGTTTCTCACTTTGTGTAAGTTATTTGTTCTTGTCTGTGCCTTTAACCTATTTGTATTGTATCATCTCATCATTAGAACCTTATCCCAACAATTAGATGTCAGATACATGAATGCTTTTCTGCAACTCCAATCCCATTTTTTTTTTCTGGCTTATATGGTATTGATACCTAAGTTTTCTCATATTGACCGTCTTTCTTTTGGTTAGTTCTTAGTGTCATATATTTTATCATTGATATCATTATCTAAGCTTTACTCCAACCATATGGGTTCGGCTACATTAATCCTGTTTTGCCATTCTGTTCTGTGCAATGCCATCATCATCATCATCTTAGTGTCATAATTTCTATGTGATCTTTAAAACATTGAAATGTGTTTGCAGGATTTTGGGAGAGGTCAACAACCATCGAAGGTGGCAAAATGCAATCCACTTTGTACTTAACTTGGATAATAATATAACTCTTTGCTGTAGAGCATTGTTAAATTAATGTTCATTTAGAGGATTTTATTGATGTATCTGCTATTTGTAGCGGTTGTTTTCTTAGTTTGGCACTTAGTTCTTATGTGTATAAACAGGAAACATTATTATTGCTCAAAACAGGGGTGATCAAAATAAACCTGACCCAGAAGGACTGTAAATTTCTGGACAGGGCGTAGACTTGAAGTCTCAAGTCTGAGTAACCCAACCAGGCCTTGAATCCAAGTATATCATATATTTGTTTATATATCATATATACTATATTATATTATGTATTCAATATATACTTCTCTTTTCATTTTTTTTTTGTTAACTAAACTATATCACTTTGAAGGCCTCAGAAGGTTTGAACTTGTGACCTCTTGAATTGTCATCAATGCTCTACTAGGCTAGGAACCCTTTTTAATGACAAATTTAGAACATAAAATAGGGGAAAAAAGGAGCAAACTATTCAATTGATCAAGCTTGGAGGTGCTTGGCCCCTATTTAAAAACCAACATGAGCCAAGCCCCACCGGAACCATGATTACATAATTACATAATAAAGGGTTTCAACTTTGTCAACAATGAGATCATGCCATAGCACTTGGCGTTGTATATCTTGTCACACATTTGGACTTCAAACTTCTAGAAAAGATGCCAACCAGTCTTAGTTAAATTGGTATTGTTTGGATCCAATTGCATGCAGAACAATATTATTAAAGCTCATGTATTTTATTTAAGTTATAACCATAATTAAAATTGTTTATACCAAATCATAAATGAAAGGATCCAAATCAAATTGGAAAGCTCAAAGTTTGTGACTAGAAATGCAAGCCCAAATGAATTTTATATAGAGCAGAAACATTATTCTTCTTACTTATCTAACATAGTTGCCAAAATGTCTGTTTAAGGGAAAAGGGTTGAGATAAAGCAACCGAGCTGCCGGTTTCATCTCTTCTTCACCATTTTGACAGTTCTAACTAGGCCTTTGTAGAAACTTGTTGTAGTAGACGTGATCATAAGAAGATGATTCAGAACCTGAAAGGAATATTACTTTGAGTTGATAGCCAGTTAAGATTCAACCATGGAAAAAGTGGGCTACCAGGCATCAATGTGGATGAGGATGAGTTAGGGGTTCCCATCTCTCTTTCAGGTGTTTCAAATTGGTGACTGCTCCTTCATTCATGTTCACATTGGTTTGGTTAAAGGTTTTTATGCCAGCTGCTAACATAATAGTTGACAAGTCCTCTTTTACCAAGCTTGGCTTTAGCAGTGTAAGACAAGCCAACACTCGTAGAGTTAAAAGGTTAGTAATAGATGAAATAAAAAATAATATGCTCCCTTGAGGATCACATGAGACAATTGTGATAAAAAAGAGTTTTTTTTTTAAGATAAATAAAGAAGTTTTATTGACAGAAAAAAAACACAATACACTTCTTGGTGACAAGGAGTCACCAAACATCAGATAGAATTTAAAATAAAAAAATACAATAACTCACTAATCAAATCACTAGTTCAAAATACAAAAAACATCTTAGTCATTCAAGACTCTCCATAATTCAGATCCAAAGTCTTCTTATGATCACGTCTTACTGAATTCTAGAAGAATTCAAGACTCTCCATAATTCAGATCCATAATTCAGATCCAAAGTCACCAAACTCACTAATCAAATCAAAGTCATCTTAGTCATTTATCAACTCACTTCTTACTGAATCCTTGAAATTCTAGAAGAATTAGAACCCTTCCAACTATCTTTGACCTGATTAACGTTCCTAAATCTTCATTGCTTTTTATTTTATTTCTTTTTTGAGAAAAGGTAAAGTAATTTTATTAAAATCAGATAGAATACAACAGACCCCCAAGGATAACACCTTGGATAGGAATCAGCAGCCATTGATAAATGATACAACTCCCACAAATGCCTAGACCTCAATAGAACCCCCGGGTCAGAAGTCTGAAGCCCCTTTGCAGCTGGAACCCAAGAGACCAGCTTCCCAAAAGAAAAAGAAATTAAATCATCCAAATCTTTGGAAGAATTCTGGAACAACATGCTGTTTCTTTCAGTCCATATGGTACTTATCACTGCAGCCGGAACAGAGACCCATACACTGCTGGCAAGCTTAGAGAGACCATGAACTTCCCAGCCCCAAAGCAGATCTATCACTGTTCCAGGCATAACCCAAGCTAGCCCCAGAGCTGAGATGTAATGCCACCAGATATATGAGGTGACAGAGCAATGGAGGAACGGATGATTATTATCCTCCAATGCCTGCCCACACAGCACACACAACTGGTCCTGGACCTGCACCCCTCTTTTAGACAGATAAGCTTTAGTTAAACACCTGTCTGGCGCTTCTGCCCACACCAGAGCATTAGCTTTTGAGGGAGAAAGGGGATTCCAAATTCTCGAGGCAGGCACAGAAGCTAAATTCCTGTCTGAAAGTTTGAGAGCAAAGGATTTGACTGAAAAAAGACCATCAGCACTCCAATTCCGGCTCCAACTGTCATCATTATTTATGTCCAAAGATTGGATTGAAATCAGCTCAAGCAACTCAGAAAACTTAACAATCTCCCAATCCTGGAAGTGTCTTCAAAATGAAGGACACCAAGTTACAGATCTACCATTCAATTCATAGCAGTCTACCACAGTAGCATCCTGATTCTCAGCAATCTGAAACAGCTGTGGAAGCAACTCTGATGTTGTGATGGATGTGTGGGAAAGCTAAAAAGGATGGTTTTGTCATGTGTAGAAAAAGATAATCTTCCACTTTGTATTTTCTTTTCTCCTATTCTCTCTCTTTTTCCTTCTTATTTTCTCTATTTTCGATCTAATATCATGGTATTAAAACCCTGGCTCTACCTGAAAGCTCAGCTGTTGTGGAGGAAGAGATTTATGCCCTACATAAAAACAACACATGGGAATTAGTGGATCTCCTTGAAGGCAAATAACCGGTTGGGTGTAAATGGGTTTTCTCAGTTAAGCTTAGGGCTAATAGTTCAATGGAGAGATACAAGGCAATGTTGGTAGAAAAGGGGTTTTCCCAAGTGTATGGAGTGGATTTTGTTAAAACCTTTGCTTCTATTGCAAAAATGAACTCTATCTGAGTTCTTTTTTCATTGGTAGCAAACTTTCATTGGGATCTACTCCAACTTGATATGAAAAATTCTTTCCTTCCGGGTTAAGGGTAGTGGGAAGAAGGTATGTCCGCTGAGAAAGTCTCCATAGGGCCTGAAGAAATCACCTAGAGCTTGGTTCAGTAGGTTTAATAAGGTTGTTCAACAAGTGGGTTTCAGGCAATGTTAGGTAGATCATACACTATTTGTGAAGAGAGAGTGGGACAAGATTGCAGGTCTAATTGTGCATGTAGATGATATTATCATTATTGGTAATTGGGAGTCTGAGATAAGGAAGTTGAAGCAATTCTTGGCCTCTCAGTTTGAGGTGACAGATCTAGGCCTTTTTTGATATTTCTTTAGGATTGAGGTTGCCCACTCTGATAAGGATTTTTAATTCTTTATATCTCAAAGGAAGTATATCCTAGATCTTCTATAGGATTCAGGTAAACTATGGGTCAAAACAGTTGACACTCCTATTGAGCAAAGCCACAAGCTTGGGGAAAGTGAAGGAGAGACTCTCTTAGATGTTAAGCAATATCAGAGACTTGTGGGGAGACTGTTGTACCTATTTACAACTAGGTGGGACATCACATATACAGTATATACGGCATATACATTCTCCTAAGAAGTTTCATCTCTTGGCTGCAGAGAGGGTGCTTTGATACTTGAAGAGTTGGAATATACATCCTCTTTTCTAAGCATGACCATGTGGAGGTCGAAGTGTATACTGATGCTGATTGGACAGGATCAGCCGATGACAGGAGGTCTGTGGGTAGTAATTTGGTGACTTGGTGTAAGAAGCAACTAGTGGTTGCTAGGTCTAGTGTGGAAATTTGAATACCACACTGTGGCTCATGGTGTGGCTGAAGTGTTATGGATAAGAATTTCCTGGGAGAGTTGGAATTTACTGTTGACAGCTCCATGTTTCTTTATTGCAACAATAAAGAAACAACTTGCTGATGTCATGTAAAATTGGGTATATATGACCAAACCAAGCATATTGAGGTGGACAAACATTTTATTAGGGAGAGAACATTGAAAGGGGTGAAGTTTGTACTCCATATGTAAGCTCCAAGGAACAACTTGCTAATGTCTTTACAAGGGGTGTGAATGCCCTTCATCATAATGAATTATGTAATGAGTTGGGAATGTTTGACATCTATGACCCAACTTGAGGGGAGTGTTGTAATAATATGTGTATCTTGGTGTTCATGGGTATTTATGTCATTCTACCTTCTTTTATGTTGCCCTAATAAAATAAGAGAGTGGGAGATGCCACTCTCATTATGATTTCTTCTGCTTCGACTTTTCTCTTGTCTTCTCTTTCTTATTTTCTCTATTTCTGATCTAATCTCAGAAATAAAGCTGTTTTGAAGTACACATTTTAAGCTTAATTCTTCTCGTCTATTTATTTTTAAACAGCTGGAAGATATTACAGCCATTAACCTCAACTCAAACAAAGCATTATTCCAACCACCAAGTATGGAGTCATATTTTCTATTTCTGTTAGCTTATGGTTAACTTGACCTGGATATCAAACCTGCATCATCTCAGAATAACACTTGTTATGGATTTTATAGAAACCAATTTCTTTGGGGCAATGTAGCCACAGTTGTATTTCTAAATGTGTAATTGTTATGGTCCTAAAGGTTTAGAAGCTTGGCTTATGCATTTCAAGTTCCAACAGTCAGGACTTTTAGTGTATTGGTCGGGTATGTAATATTGGTATTGGAGCCTACTGAGTATCCCCATTTCTTGGATTTGAATCACGGAAAGGGCTATCTAGGAAAGGGCTACCTGGAACAGAGTGAAAGCTGTCATGGAAAGGACTACTCAGAGTAGAGTTGAAGCTGCGATGGAATGTGTTAGAACAGAGTGAGAGCCGCCATGGGGAAAGGGCTACCTCTTGCCAAAGTGAGCCACTGTGGAAGGGACTAACTACTGCCAAAGTGAGAGAGGCCAGGGAAAGAGTTACTGCTTTTAGAGTGAAAGCTTTTTGGAGTAAGAGCAACTGATATGTTAGCTGCAGAGCATGGTGGTATGTTACAACCCTAAAAGTTAAACAACTTGGCTTTATACATTCCAACAGGCCAAGGGCTTTTGGTATATTGATCAGCTGCGTAATGGTAACAAAGGAAGGCATAGTGCGTTTGACAGCACAGTTGGCCATGATCTACAAGTGGTACTAGGCACATATTCTTTCTTGTACATCATTCTTTTTCATAATAAATAAATCTTTTAGCAGTTACTAATAATAGAAAAAATAATTGGCAGTTACTTTGTCCATGTCCTAATAGAAAATTGCATTGGAATGTTTGGCATATATGAATGGTGCATTGCCCGTCTTTATTGCACTTAGGAGGTATATGCCTCCGGGTGAGGCACTAAGAAAGTGTCTGAAGGCACATACTGGAGGCATGAGGCATGCACCTTTATTGCACTTTAGATAGGAGGTGTGCACCTCATATGCTCTTTACCTTTGAAGCTAGTTTTTATAATAAAAAATATTACAAATAAAGGTGAGGGAACCATTTTATCATGTTCTCCATTACATATTAACATAATACAAAGGATAAAAACCCTCCAAATTTGTTTATTGTAATATTGCATGAAAATGTTATAAATAGAAATTGGGACACCATAGATTTGATTTCATTTAATGCATTATCTTCATTTGAATATGAGATGGCACACTTGTTTATGTTAATGCTGTGCAATTTATGTGAATTCTTATTTCAGTAGTTTTGATTTGCAACTTTGCAAGTGATATAATGATGGCTGATGATACTTATATAATTATGTAAATGATACTTTATGCAGTGATGCTTCAATTTTATATATAAATGTGATGGTTTTATTATTAGAAATTGCAAATATGAAACTTTCTAATTTCTCATAAATTTTCCTATTTTTTGGATATTTACTTTTTTATTTATTTTATCTTATTTTTAATTACCTATTAATTAAAAATTCCATGCCTGGGAGGCTTACACCTCATGCCTTAGGATGGTAGAACATCTTGCATCTTGCCTCCATGTTTTAAAATATTGATCTAAAGGACTTGCTTGAGTTTGCATCCAGTTACTGGGAAGGATTGTACTAGGTTTTACCTGAATCACTTGTATGTATGCAAAGCCTATTCAGTATGACCAAGAACCTCTTTCAACCTGAGCCAGAGTCCATCTGATTTTGCAATTCTCAAGAATTCTATTCCCTTGTTTGTTGTGTTCCAGTAAAAAATTGATGATCTTTTCTTCTTTTTTTCCCAGTCTTTCTTAATAGTCTAATGTCTTAAAAGTGCAACTTGTGAAACATGCATTTGCATATATGTTGCCCTACTGATGTTACCTCTTTCTTTGCATCAGTTTATTTTGTTACCTCCATTTAAGGTTTGATCATTTCTGCCTGGTCAGCATTGCCCAACCCAGCCCAGAAGGTTAATATAAATAATATTAATATATATTATATAATATTTATAATATATGTATTGTATAAATATATTTATAGTATATATACTGATATATTAAAATATGTAAAATAAATTATATATTTTTGTATTTTCAAATACAGACATATATTTAAATTTTAATTTTTAAATATATTTTTATTAATTTATATGGACAGGCCTGGATGCCTGGCCCAGACTGGACATCTATTATCAGACCTGTGGTGCGGGCCAGGACAGACGCAGACAGCCCAAATGCTGTTACTACCCTGTAATAACCCAGCCCTACTACCCTGTAATAACCCAGCCCAGCCTAGGACATGATCATCCCTACCTGCATTGCAGGTGGACATAGGCATGCTTTAGAAAATGCATGTTTGAAGTATTGTACATATATGTATCCATATAAGAAACCTATATAAATACATAATCCATTTTTCATGTGAATAATCATTCTTCTATTTTACAGTGATGGAAAGTGCATTTTGATCTTCTATTTCTAATGACTTAAATTTTGCATCATATTTCATCAAATCTTTGAAATGCTTACAACTGAACAATTTCCCCAATTACTGTTTCTTTGAGATTCTCTGACGCAACATACCTGGAATCAGAACTATGTGAGATATGCAACACGTCAAAAACGTGCAGATGCAAAGAAAGCTCTGAAGGATCTTCTTTTCAAGAGTGGATGCTCTAGATTTTCATTTCAGGTTTACCCTTCTTGACCTCTTTTGATATGTGACATTACTCAAGAACATTATCCCCACAAAAAATCTTAGAATTTATTTATTATTATAGACAACTAAAAAAGGTTATGAAAGAATGATCTTTCTTTTTTATTTATGCAGATTGTTCTTTGAACTTTCATGGTCTTGCTTTATTCTAATTAGTAAGTTTTGCATGGGATCTGACAATTTCTAAATCCAGGATGATGGTCAAACATGGAACACCAACAGAAGAAACAAAAACAGCTGCAGTGAAGGAGAAACTGATTTTTCGCATGGTTTTACTAAGCAGTCTCGATCAAGGAAATCTTCTGCAAAAGCTGCACCTTACCGTTCATCACATGCTCGAAAAGGCCAGTATAACCAAAGCAAACATAAGCTTTCTTTCATTGTCTGTCTATATAGAAGGTTTCCTAGCCGGCTCAAATAGGGATCTTCCCTCCACAACCTATTATATTGTAGTCAGATGGAGGAATCTTGTGGTCAATCCAGACTGTTCGTCATATAGTGAGGACCTTTTTAATTTAAACGTTGCCCATAAAAGACAGCTTATCTAGAACACATGGCTTATAATTTTTCGATGAATGAGAAGACATCTAGGACAACTTTTGAGCATGTTGAAGCTTTCTGGGCCATTTAAGGAAAGCTTACTATGTGCGTGTGTGTGTGTGTGTGTGGCAGCAGAAGGAAGATGATAAAATTTCTACTTTCTGACACCATAAGAAGGTTTATTGAGACCTTTGATTATATAACCTGATTAATCTGTGACTGAAGTTTGGATCTTCTTAACTTGTTCTGTAACTTCAGTTGGCAAGTTAGTGTGCAACTGTGGATGGTTCCCTCTGTGGAGACAATGTACAACTTCTTTGGGTTTCCTGTAAGGTTAGAATACATAGAAGTCCTTTGAATATTATCAATGTGATTATCAACAATTTCAAACTCAAAGAGTTCAACTTATTGAACCGAGTCTATTATTTAAACCTTAACAAATAAAAGATGCATTGCTGGAACACAGTACCTGAGATCCAGGTGCTTTTTGTATTGGAAAGCCATGTGTTGTGATGAAGGTGGGGGGGGGGGAGGTTGAGAGGAGAGAGGCAAATATATCTTTGAAGGAAAATAGGCTAAGGAGCAGGGCCCTTTTTGTTTGTCATTATTAGATCTGGCCATCCATGAACTCATAGGAATTTCTTACAATGGTTTGGTAATCAATTTACTAGAGGTTTTCCAATCTTCCCTTGGATACCCTATTGCAACCTCATGTAGATGGTGAGGTATGTATTTTGATGGTGTTGCCTTGGAATCTTGCACATGATTGTTCTTGCCTTGGATGGTAGAATTTGCACCGGCCTTGTTGGTGATGTGAATTCTACAAAAGCTGAGTGTGTTCATTGGGGCTGACCGCTTTGGTTGTTGGAGAAGATTCAGCTAAGGAGATTAACTGTTACTTGGGTATTTACAGAGCTTCATTCAACTGCCAATAGCTTTGCTAGGTGGGCAGTGCAGACTTCTTATCTTTCCTTTTCTCTGGGCGAAAGAAACATTTACAGTATTGTTTCATTTTTGAATTGTTCAGGCTTTCAAGCTGTATGTTTTTGTATATTGGTTTACATCCTATGATGTACACAGTATACCTCTATTTTAGAATACATACATAGATACAGTTTCTCATGGAAAAAGAGACAAAAAAGTATTTTTTATATCTCCATCTCATGAAGATATGATCCCTTTACACCATAATTTACTACGGTGCCAGGGGTTACCATGCTCAAGTTGGCAGATAGGGATGTTAGGGTTGGAAAGAATGTAGGAGAGGGGTTTCCTAGAAGGGATTTTGAAGCTTTTGAAAGAAGAGAGAAGATAATCTTAAGAAGCCCGTTGTAGGTTGTAAAGAACACTGATGTGGTCCCCACAGTGTTCGTATGGCAGCAATATTTCTGTTAGATATGACAGTGTTAGTTGGTAGTTATTTCAGCTTTATTATTAGTTATTTCTTATTCTATTTGCCATGCAAGCAATAAGGGCAATTCAGCCCTTTTACAGTTAGCCAATAGTTATAAATACTAAGAGAGGGTCGGCAGAAATTATGACCTACTCTTATTTTCTTCCTCTCTTCTCTTCTTCTTCTCTTCAATTTTTCATCCTTTTTTTCTTTTTAATTCAAGACTGATTGTAGTCTAGATCGACTACTTGGTATTAGAGCCGACCTGGGAGATCTTATGCTAGTCTGATTAGGCCGACAGCATGAGAACCACCTAGGTTTGGAAGTTTTTCAACAAGGAGGATCGGCTGATTCTTGGAGGTTACTAGTAGTGTGCGGCTTCTACTAAGAGATTGTAGAAGTTTGGGAGAGTTCCAGTAGTCAGGAAGAATCAGAAGAAGTTTTGGATCCTCAAGATTAGGGTTTTGCATCAACTAGAAGGTGGTGACGAGAGATTTTTTCATAAAGTAAGCTTTTTCTTGTGATTCTGTTCAGAAAAGATAATCTTGGTTTAGTCTGAGAGGTGCGGCTTCAGAATTTGTGTTTTCTTTAGGGTTTTGAGAGGAAACCCTAAAATTCAGAACTGTTATTTGTTTCAGATCAGAATTTGAACTGGTTTCATTCAGAATTCTGTTTTCTGTGTTCTTTGGAAGAACTAGGTCGGCTGTTATAAGTTGTTTGGGTGCTGTTTCTCCTATTACAGTAATTAAAAAAGTTTTTTTATTAATTCTTGATCAAGAATGGAGTTCAAGAGTCAAGGGGAAGGCGTTTTTGGGACTAGCAATTCTGGTAACATGTCTGAGAATACCTTTCGGATTACAACAGTTAAGTTTGATGGATCAAACTACCTAGAATGGGCTCAATCGGCTATGATGGCCATTGGGGGTAGGGGAAAATTGAGCTACTTGTTGGGAGATGTGAAAGAACCAACTAAGGAGGACCAAACCTATACCAAATGGGTTCAGGAGAACTATTTGGTTATGACATGGCTGTGCAACTCTATGCAGCCACGTATCAGCCGGAACTATTTGTGGGCGAAAACAGCTAAGGAAATCTGGGATGTCATGA